CAAAGAACTGAAACTCCCTTCTTTTTTTCTTTCCATGGTGCCAGAATCAAAGAAAACCTGCTGGTATTAGTGCTGGGCAGTGATGACAGATGGTTTTTGTTGAATGAATCAAAAGCTGTAGCTGCATTTGCCAAAAAAGGAAAATATTATATAAGGTTTATACAACCTACTAAAGCAATTAATAATCACATAACAATTGGTTGTGGATTTGCCCCTTCTTCAGCCAGGTTTGGGCTGATAATATTATCGTATCCTTTCCAAGTCTTAGCTTGTTCACAGGAGAAGTTTGCCACATAACTAAACGCATGATCCAAAACCTCCCTTGGGCAAGAGCTACCTGGATCCTGTTTGTTGTCCTGTGTAAATATTGGGAAAATAAAATTCCATTTTCACCAATGAAAAGAAACACCTGCTTTTCTAATCAGCTGGAACATTTTAGTCAGGATTGATGCACACCAGTTGGGAAATTGTTTATAGATTCGTGTTGGCAACATATTCTCTTTCGATGCCTTGACAGATGAAAGAGACACCTCAAGACCTTTAATCTTACCTATGGCGGTAAGTGCTCACTGAAGCAGGTTTGTTATGTCTACAACAGAATTCTGACCACAAACCAAAGAAGAAACATCAAGATCTTACGTTAATGATTAAACCAATCTTTCTCAGGTATCCTTGAATCTGTTGTGGGAATAATTTTGTAGAACATCAGAAGATGCAAAGCCCCCAAGCCAGAATTATTATGGTTCTAATACAATTGTTTCCAATTCTTGCTATTATTTTATGGTAAACTTTCTTTGCCAGACTCATAAGATGAACACAGAGGAAAAAAAGGTTATCAACAGAATTTCTTCTCCTTAATATATTTTGCATGAGATGAGTAGTCAGCTTTTTCCTGGCTTGCTACATTCATCATCAAACCACCCTTTATAAGGAGTTTTAGATTTTTTTGATTGTTAGTAATAAGCTGACAGTGATTTAAGATGGGCAATGGTTTAGGAAGATTATAAAATGTCAGTGTCAGCTCTAGAGACTTCCTGAGGTACAAGTGTTACAAATTGTTTAAGAGTTAGGCAACACTTATGCCTAAGCAATGAATGAGTTTAGAGATTTTATCATGAAGGGAGTCCATTGAGAAAGATGATTTTATCAGTTCTGTGTTATAACTGGAAAGGCAAATGCTCCAGTGGCGTATTTCAGCTCAAACACGAAAACTTCAAAATAGATAACACTACTCTGAAATCAACTGAGATAATTTTGGGGAGACCTTACGGTCTGCCATCAAGACAGCATGCATTTGAAACAGAGTCAAGGAAAAGTAATTTGTACATGATAATTACTCACAAAAAATATAAAATCAAATAAATGAAATAGTTTTACCTGACATGCTTGAATCATTATTATGCAAATTAAGAAGAGTTTTTATTTGTGATAATTAAGTGCCAATATTCTAGTGCTGATGGTTCAAAGAGCCTTTTTTGTGGTTTCCAAATTCCATGACTATTAGTGCAAACTGGTTGATGTTGTGACAGGAGATACACGTAATGCAATCGTGTGGGAAGGGCATCTTCTGCTTTTAATTGGAGCCATGCTGGAAATCATTGAAGGGCATTTCCTTTTTAGACTTTCAGAGCACTAAAGCAAAAAAAGAAAAGCAGACCCTCCCCCCAAAATACTAATCGAACACACATTCTATAAACATAAATAGATCTTTATAAAAGATACCCAAAAAGCCAATCTGTATGTTGTCTTTCAAAGTCCCCATTTTCTGTGGGTTTGGCAACCACTGGCTGCTTTTGTGGCCAACTGTGATCCTGAGCTGGCTCAGTTGCAAGTTCATTGTTTCTTTCTCTTTATGGCTACCGCTCTTGTGTTTGTAAGTCTTGACTTTTTGCAAATAGGATACGGACTCTAAGGATGTTATATTTTCTTGTAGAAGAAATTAGTAGACACGCAGTATCCTACAGCTTAAAATATGTTCTACAGCAGCATGGCCACACTTCAAGCTGCTAGATCAAAATTTAAAATGTCATGTTCTCTACTGTGGCTGCAGGCTCTCACGTCTGTGAGATGCAGTTCTGTTGGTCATATAAAAGGATGATGTGAATCCATCAGGAAATCATATAGAAGGACTAATGCAGTGTCAATAACTTTTTCGGTATTTGTAAGAATCTGGGGACCAAGAGGGATTCTGACAGTCAGCAAAGGGCTGAAAAAAAGAATCTAAAGGAAACTTTAGTTGTCACCTCACTAGTCAACCCACCAATGAATGCATCTTGGTTTTCAGGAGGAGCCAAGCAGGAAAGAACGAGTGAATTGGTATCTGACAGGAAGATAAAATAAGGCACTCTCCATCTCAGTTTTAGCTGAATCTCCTGCGACCTACAGCAGAACAACAGTTAGCCAAGAAACCTCATATTCCAAGCAATGTCTGGACAAAATCCAGTTTTGCAAACCATTGTCTCGCCAAAAGATTTGTGTGACAAAGAAGAAGGAAGAGACAGAATTTCTGTGTGTTTTCCAAATGCTTTGTGGTCTTCTTCCCCTTTGGGGTGTTGCATCATTCTTGCCCTAAACCAAGTGAGAGGGGCCTTCAAGAGATCAACTTGAAGAGCTGAACACATGCCTGTTGGAGTATTAGAACTGGCTATGGATTAGCTTTAAGGTGGCAGAGACAGCAGGCTTCATTAGGAATTAACTGCATTTTCAGCAGCAGCAGAGCAAGCATGCATGAGTATTTCTGTAGACCAAATGTGAGCAACTAAGTGCTATTCTGAATATTTTCCAAGAGGATGCCTGGAGGGGCAACATGACCCCCAACAGAGTGATGGACAGTTGGATACCAAGGGGCCAAAGAAGGAATCCAGTTGTAGAAGAGGTATTGCCTCTATCAAGGAAGTTGTGGCCAGAAAGTTCCAGGTGGGGGAGTGGACTTCAAGGAAGTTCACGGAAGCACTCTTAAAAAAGAAAGAAGTAGCATGCTATACTCCCAGAGCATATCTCCGGGTTATGCCTGCACCAGTCGAGTAAGACCTTTCTTATCCTTAACATTTCCTCTCCACTCTGATCCAGTGCAGAAAGAGGTAGAAGAGGAGTATTAAAGCAAGATGAGGAAATAGCAAAGAAGCCTCCTGCATTGGGCTTTTGAGACTGAGGCAGACATGAGTTGACGGAGGGGATTGACTTATGTGATTATGACCCAGGACTGGACAATTTTAGCACTCAAGTGATACTACTATGCCTGAAAGTGATTGGAGACCTTTTGTTATATGAAAGTGGCATTAAAGTTATGGGACCTAAGATTTTATTCAAGGGGTAGGAAGGAAATAATCCACAGAGGGGGAGTTTGAAAGGACAGGAGGGAAAAGAATAAGATTGTTTTTAGCTATCACTGTATCAGCTAAGCCTATTTAATTACTAGTTACAAATAAAATCATTTTCACCCCTGGGGAGAAGAAAAAAAAGCTACTCAAAACACAGGCCCTCCTTTAGGCATTGAATGAGCTGATGGAGGAAGGGCATTCATCAGTTTGGCACATTATATAGACTGGATTTTTACAAGCTACCTCCAGTGAAGATTTTTGTCACCTTCTTTGGAAGCAATTTCTAATGAGAAGGCTTGAAGTCTATCAGCAAAGGCAAGCACTTTCTAGGTTCTCATCATCCTGCATGCATTGACCAATGGTCCTAGTTCTGAAGTATCTAAATAAACATTAATTTTTTAACACCTCATTTCATAGAACCAAAGTTGTGATTATCACACGCCTTGGCTGAGTGATGATGAATACATCAGTTAACCTCCTCCTGACATCGTGTTTTTCATGTAAAATAAGACTGACAATGCAATTAAAGATATAACAAAAAATTTTTTTAAATAAAAAGCTATGAAAATCAGATAGCCACCGTAAATACCTCATGGAAATGACATGCACACTTCCCCTGCAGAAACTCTTTGTATCGTCCCATTGTTATAGTGAACGTATCAACTACTTCATAGCCATACTTTTTTGCAGTATCCAAAATAATCAAATTTTCTTTCCATAAATTCTGTACTTCACTCTGTATTGCAAAGCAGAAGAATGAGGATTATTTTATCATTTAATAACTTAGGCAGAAATCAAGTACATGTTCTCTTTTTCACAGGGATTGATCATATTGTAAGATAAAGATTCTCACATGCATTTCTTATGATTTGTTCTAACTTTTTTTACTCAAAACATAAATGTAACCATTCATGCATATATAAAACAGCAGTACATAAAGTCTATAGTGGCACATAGTTTTGAATTCCCTTCCATAAAAAGTAGTTACATTCATTGCCCACAAAGACCCATGAAAATATCTAAAATTCTTAATTTAAAAATCAACATTTGGTTTCTTAAAGCTGAATAGTACTCCATGATATACATATACCACATTTTATTAATCCACTCATGTATTGATGGACACGTGGGTTGTTTCCACATCTTTGCAATTGTGAATTGTGCTGCTATAAACATTCGGGTGCAGGTGAAACAATGGTGATATAGCACCTCTTGTATACTCCTGGATAGAGCTGGAACGCATTCTACTAAGTGAGGTATCCCAAGAATGGAAAGACAAGCACCACATGTACTCACCATCAAACTGGTATTAACTGATCAACACATAAATGCACATATAAGAATAACATCTATTGGATGTTGGGCAGGGGGGAAGGGGAGGGGGGAGGAGGGAGGAGGGGACGGGTATTTGCATACACAAAGAGTGCAATGCGCACCACCCGAAGGATGGACATATTTGAAACTCGGACTTAGGGGGGCAAGGGGGGGGCAAGGGCAACATATGTAACCTAAACATCTATACCCCCATAACATGCTGAAATAAAAAAAAAAATCAACATTTGGGAATCACAAATGCTACCTCCTATTTGGATTCTCAGCCATTTAGTCACTTGAGTATTAATTAGCATCTGCTTTTGCTTAGCTCTTGCTGATGGGCAAGAATACAAAGATAAATAAATCATTGTCCCTGATCTTAGGACACAGCGTTCTAATAGGAGAAACAGATATTTAAACATTTAGTGAGTCCTTCATTGGAGTAAATATACCAGGCTCTGGCTAGTACTAGACACAGAAGAAGCTCTTCCAGAGGCAGGGTGGCAGCTGGACAGCGAGGCTTCAAGAGGGGGTTCCTGAATAGCCTCGCATGAGGTTTGCTAATTGGATGGGGTGAGGAAAGAGAGAAGGGGAGTGCTTTGGGGAGCAGGAGAACTGAGTGAAGGTCCCAGCTGCTGCCACTTTGGGTCACATTCCTCCCTCCCTCCCAAACCATGTCCCAGGAGTTTTAGTTAAATCTACTCTGTCATGGGGAAGGAGAACTCCACTAACTACTGTAGCTCCAGGACTCTTGGCCTGGCCAAGACTTTCTCAGAACTGGTCTGCAATCCACTCTTCCTACCCAATCCATCCTTCTTCCTCTCCATATTACAGCTAAACACAGTTCCCCAGGACATAGTAGGCACTCAAAAGACATTTGGCACAGATAGAGTGATACACATTGGGTGCTGTGGTCTGAAACTTTTCCTGTCTGCTTCTGAACTCTTCCCTTTATTCTTCCCAGGTAGTCTTCCTAATAAATCCCCCCATTTGGCTAATCCTACCTTGGTTTCTGTTTCTTGGAGAACAAAAACTGACACAGGGAGGGAATTGCACTCCCGCTTCCCTTTTCTAAAGGGCAAAAAGAATTTTTAAGTTTTTGGGTAAAAAAAGCAAATAATTACTTGCATTTGTTAAGCCAACTGCAGGATAAAGAAGTAGCATAAATATGTCCAATTTTCTGTTTTCTTCACTGTGCTTACAAGACTATTTTTGTGTGACATTCAAAGAAGAATGTTTTCTTCAAAATAAAGGTAGTGAATAGAAAAGGCTCATAAAACATCTGGAGGAAAAGAGACAGATGCAAATTTGCTCTGTGACTCAAAGAGTCTATGCAAAGCGATGCTCAGTATTGTTTGTTGGTTTTTCTTGTCCAGTTATGAGAATTTTCTCAATTTTAATGTGTCTAATTATGGAAGGCACTTGGAACTTTAAAAGTTAGCTGTTTCCAGAAAAGTTTTCTAGAGAAGGGTCATTTCTGTGGGAAACAGACTCATAAATGGAAATTTGCATGCAGGAGGCTAATAGGACAGTGCTCTTGGGATCGACACCTATGGGAGCAAGGGGAGAAGGATTGGGCAGAGTGAGAAGCTGAACTGTAATGCCCTTGCAACACAGGCTTTCACCGGTCCCACTGGCAGTTCTAGAGCTGGGGTGGCCCACAGTGAGGAAAGGGGCCTGAGTCTTGGAACCCCTGCATGGGCAAGTTGAGTCTCTGCAGCAAAGACAATTCTTGGTGGGACTCAGGTGAGTCACCAATAGGACAAGGGAATGAATGTCCCCTGGAAGGGGCAATCTGGGAGCACACAAATCATAAAAAATATCACTCACTCATTTGTGCACAGATATTTTTTGAGGTTCTACTGTATGCTGAGAACTATTTGGCTTTTGGGATACCAAGTGAGCCATGCCAGTCCCCTCCCCCACCCCCACATCCTTGCTGTCATAGAGATTACTGTTTAGCAGGGGAGACAGACCAGCAAAGGGTACAGGTGCTGAGCACCATGAGTGAGGACTTCAGGGCAGCAGCAGCCAACTTATTCTAGAGTGTCAAGAAAGTTTTCTCAGAGGAAATAGCATTTAAGCTAACACTGGAAGCATGTGGTGGGAGAGTGGGCTCTAAGAAGAGGGAACAGTGATTTCAAAGGCTTGGAGGTGACTGAGAGCATGTTGTGCTTGAGAAATTGAAACACACTCAGCCTGACGGAGCTGGGTGGTGGGGTGTGTGTGTGTGTGTGTGTGCACACGCACATGTGTCTGCATGCATATGTGTGTGCATGCACGTGTGTCCGTATGTGCTGGTACCAAGGGATCAGCCTGCAGAGGAAGGCAAAGGCCAGTCCTGCACGATGAGGAGTTCAGATTTGCTTCCTGCCTTCATTTGCTCTTATCTCTCTCTCTTTCTTTCTATTCTTTTGCCCCCCTCTTCTTTTCTCCTTCTGACCTCACTCAGTTTGAAAAGACTGGTAAGCACCGCCAAAGCCCGTGCTGTGGGCATCATGTTTAACACAGTGTCCGGCACACAGTAAGTGCCGAAGAAGAATTTACTGAGATGAACATAAGCTGGGCCCACAGTACTCCAGTTTCTGTGAGAAGCTGCAATCAAAGAGGCCCAGTGGAACTACCAGAGTCCTCGAGATGGAAATACAGTCTTGATCTGTAGCCTTCAAATAACATTAAAGGGATCCAACTCCTAACCCATAGCAAAAATTATCAAAGCTTCCATCTCTTGATCCTAAATAGTCTTAAACCCTCCAGCTACCCCAGATGTTAAATACCTCAACTCATTTTAAACTACCTTAACCCCTCCTGCCCCCAAGATGATGAATTTGGAGGCTTTACTTTGGCCACTTTCTGCCAATTCTCCTATTTTTGCATCAGAGAAGATCCGGTAGATGTCCAGGCAGATAAAGTTCTGAGAAAGGCGGGGGAAAGGTTGTGTGTTCTGTGCTGGGCAAAGCTAGGAGCGTGCAACACAGACACAAAAATATATCTCAACCTCTTACATATTAAATGGACAGCTTCCTCTCTCCCAGTTCCCAGTGCTATCCTGAGCCGTGACTCTGCAATTACACACCAACTCCCGGCTGCTCCCAAACTCTCCGCACTTCAGCAAGAGCAGCTGGTTCTCTTCCCTACAGATGTTGTCTTTCTTTTCTTTTCTGAGACTCCTATTCAATGCTGAGACTAATTTACTGTCTTCTATAAGAACTGGTCAGAGGCCCTAACTCCTTTCATTTGTGAATATCCTACCAGAGGAAAAACCAATGATACTACTTCAAAGATGATTTTTTTTTAAAGCAATCAGTCAGAAATCATCTTCAAAAAGACCACTCTTTCCCAAAGGACTCATTGATAATGACAGTTTCATTTGTGGTTTCAGCATGAACCTGAAGAAAGGAAAGCCTTTCTATATAGCCTTTAAAGGTCTGTGCAACATTGGTGGGGTAACGGAGACTGAAAGCATAGTCTCCCTCATATACCCCTCTGTTCTATCGTTTTGCATAGTTTGGCACCCCCTTTCTCCTTTTATGAACTCAATGCATTATTTACAACACACTGTGGGCTATGGTCTTCTTGTCTCCAGAAATAATTGATTTGGGATCATAATCCTTAGTATATCATCTCCTTTGATTTTTGTGAAGGTTGCTCAATATTATAGAGTGCTTTTTGTGTCTTCTTCCAGCAGGGATCCTTATAGGAACCATGAAGTTCACACAGCCCAGAGGAAATGGGCTTACCTGTGTTAGGAAATGCACTCCGTCCACTGGCAGATGAAATCCAATTCCCAAAGTTTTGATGATCACTAGGATATTGAGTAAATTTTCCCTGAATGAAATAATCAGAATTCTAAAGTCATTAATCTCAATTACATTTCTAGATGTTTCTTGTTTATGTAAACAAATATAGTGGAATTTTTTAAAAAATGTGATAATTGGCATATAAGACTAAATTTCCATTTTATAGATTTGATATATATTAGGGGTTTTTTTTGTTTTTTTTTTTAGGATAGAATTTTATATGTCACTGGACATGTTTTGATCTGTGGTAAATGTAAATTTGGATACCAAAGAGCCACATTGTAATTGGATACCAAAGGATTTTGAAATATTTTAAACTGGACTTTAAGTACTTAATTCTGAATTACAAGTTGTTCTTTAAATAAAATCTGGATAAAACTCAGTAACATCAATACTAACTTTTTGTGACTTAGAAGACAAATGACATTTATTGTTGCAGAAATTTACCTCTTCAAAACCTTGTGAATAATTTGCAGGTGATTGGAATTAAGCCACTGAACACCCCCAACAACCAATACAGTCTGGCCAGTATTCTCTAGGGGACGTGATCTGAAATCCAGGAAGAAAAACAACACATGTTGCCTTAAAACAGATGGTAAACATTGTGACTGCATTGCCTCACATTTCATTGAACCATATCTGGCATCCTGATCACAGGACCCTCTTATAATTTCCAACTCATTTTCAGCCACATTACTTGGTATGCAAGCTTTTCAGCACATTTGCTACACAGTGAGCAGTTATGACCTCCAGAGTACATTGTGGCATTGTGTCGTTCATAACTGCTCCATTGTACCTTTGTAAAAGATGTTCAAGGGCTTCTTCAAATGTTGGTCTCAATGAAGGGCTTATCCAGAACTGAGGATAGTAGGAATAACTGATAACAGTCTTCCCACCATTGACGTTGCGATAGAATTTAGTGCCATGCACCTTCTGCCATTCCTGCAACGTTTCATTCAGTCTTTCGATCAGGTAGTACATGATCCCTCTGTTGGTTGAATCTCCAATGAAAAGAATCTATAAATTAAAGAGAAAAATATTTGTTTCCAAATCTGATGTTTACATGGTACAGGAGATAGTTTAAAATAACTAATTTTGTGACTATTCATAACTAGTTAATTGTTTGAAGGACAGACTTTCCGATTGTTAGAAATAACATTCATCACATTCTCCCCCAAACCTGTTCAGTTTCCTCTCTTCCGTATTCCCAGGAATGCCATCATCCACTGAAACACTAAGTCATGTTTACAGCTTTTTCCTTTATATTATCTTCAATTTCTCCATCTCCCTTTATGCTTTTCACCTTTTCATCTAATCAGCTTAACAAGTCTTATTGATTCAAATAGGCATGAGGTATTTCATAGTGCTCTAGGAATACTTAGGAATTTTCCAATCTCTTTATTTTATAGATTTGATACTGAAAATCCACAGAGGTCGCTCAATAGAGGTCATGTCTACTTGAGAAAAGAGCCACAGGACCAGAATCTAATTTTCAGAATCTAACAGCAGTCAATGTCCCAGGGTGCATATCCCCGTGTCATTTGCTCTCCAAGGAAGTCTCTCACCCCTATCACCTCCTTCCTGTCTCCACCAGCACAGCCCTGCTTCAGGCTGTTGCCGCCTCCGCGCTGGGTCCTGCTGGGTCTTCCTTCTTGCACAATGGCTGCATTCTCATTCATGCTACACACCACATTGCTGGGATGAATTTCCAAGTGTCTAGTTCTGGTCATTTTATTTACATGTTTAAAAACCATTGGCTCCTTGTTTCCTACAGAATCACATCTAAACCACTTAGGTTCAGCTAACATTTATTAGCTGAATTTTTATCACATACCAGGCTTGGCTAGGTGGAGATTTCATACAGAGTATTACCTTTTAATCCTCACAGTTGCGAGGTTTGAACCCTTAGGCTCCTTTTCCCAGATCAGGAATTCGAAGCTCAGGAATAACGAGGGCTTAAATCTAGTAAATGGTGAACCCCGGATTCAAACCCAGTCCTTTGACTCCAAGCGCGGGGTCAATGGCTCCATCCTCTCAGTGCTTCCCTTCGTGTAAGCATGTCAGACTCCTACTTTTTCACTGAACATGATTTGCACGCAACATCTGTTTTTCCTTGTGTTAATCCATCTGCCTTGAGCGTTCCTCCCACCGCAGCCCCACTCGTCAACCTCCAGACCCGATGTGAATGCCGCCTCTACCAACAGGTCTCATCCCGTGCCCCTAGTCAGAACTATTTAATACTTTCTCTGTCCTCTGTGATTTCATTACATTTTTACTTCCATTACAGATTTTACCAAAGTCTACATGAAATTATGGCTATTTGTGTCTTTGTCTTTTTTCTCATATCCTATGAAGAAGTATTTGAGGTCAATTTCTAATTTTAACTTCCCCTATAGTATGTAATGCTAAGCATGCACTTTAAAAATATTTAATGAATTAAAACTCAAAGGGACTCTTGTCACAGACAATCCCTTTTAATGTTTTTGGATAAGATTTAATTTGTTCTTTTTTTTTTTTCTTTTTCTTCTGAGATTTCTCTTTCCATTAGTCATATACGTATTTTCTTCCAATTTTAACAGCAGGAATTGTCATCATTTCTCAGGTACTTCTATATTTGTTCATATATAGTGAATTTAGTAAAACACTGCAAAGGTTTACTCTTTCTACAGTAAGCTGTGCGAAGGAATCCAGAAAGCTGCTGTAATTTGCCTTTAGATCAAAAACTGTTACCATAAGCATTGCTGAGCTAAACTGAATAACAAGATGTCAGGGCCCCAGGCACTGATCCTCTCAGTCGGGTTCCATTTAGAGCAATAAAATTCCAGTACAATAAAATAATTTGTGAAATAACTTGAATTTCTTCTTACTAGATTCGACCTGTAACTATTTCAGCTTGTTTTTCTGGCCTAGATTTTTTATTTTTAGAGGAAACTTGAATAATCAGGAAAGCTTTTAATTTCAGATACTACCAATTATCGAATTCCATTTGTATCCTAGTTTACTAGGGCTGCTATAACAAAGTACTACAGACTGGGTGGTTTCAACAACAGGAATTTATTTTCTCACATTTCTGGAGGCTAGAAGTCCAAGATCAAGGAGTCAGCAGGGTTGGTTGCTTTTGAGGCCCTCTCTGGCTTGGAGATGGCAGTCTTCTCTCTGTCTTCATGTGGGTCTTTCCTCCATGTGGGTCTGGGTTCTAATCTCCTCTTCTTTAAAGACCCGAATCATACTGGATGAGCTAGGCCCCACCCATAGGACCTCATTTTACCTGAAACACCCCTTCAAAGGCCCTATTTCTAAATACAGACCCATTCTAAGGTAGTGGGGTTAGAACTCCAACATATGAATTTGGCAGAGGGGATACAATTCAGTCCGTAATACTGAATATTAGTAAAGGACCTTTGAGATCTGCCTTTTAAATTAAATCACCACTATGTGTTTTTATTGTAGTTTCTTTTCATTTCAGTATCAAGGTCCAGTTCTTCCTGGAGTATCTCCAGGTAGCCAGTAAGGTCACTAGATGTCCGTATTGTGAGCTAATAGAGATACAGAGGTTTTCAAAAAATCAAAGTAGCTGTATGTTACTGAGAGAAAACAACGACAAAACTAGATCTCCAGTCTCTTCTATGCAGTTGTAATATGAAGATGCAGCCCACCAAAGCATGTCAGAGGCAAAACAGCCCTGTTTCAGATTTCTTAGGAACTGTTATTTATTAACTTGACAGTTTCAGACAAGCTATCTGCCTCTCCAAGAATTATTTCCTTACATGTAAAATGGGGATAACAGCGCCACCTTAGGGGACTTAAATAGATCTTGAATACTTATTCCTGGCAACAGTAAGCACACAATGGATGTGAGCTGGCATTAAGGCACAGGAAAGGCAAATAGTGTTTCTGAGTGCTTCCAGTGCACCTTGCAGTGCCTTGCTAGGTGCATCAAATTCATTAACTCGTCCAGAGAAAATGTCGGAGAAGATAGGATATATCTAAGTCACAGCAGTCTCTCTACCCTTTACCAACCCTGCTTCTGACCCCCAGCAGGATTTGAAGAGTTGCCAGAGAAACTGAAGCTCCAGATGGAGCACTGGAAGAGAGATTGCCATCCTGAGCAAACCAACACTCTCAGAACACGTCCTGGCTGTCTGCATTGCTGATTAGTGAGCAAGAGCTACATGGACGTGAAGAGGAAGCATCACCATCGTCGTTTGCTCAAGTTCCTCTTGATTGCAATAGCATTTTTGAATCTGGTAGACACACCTCTTGGACGACTATTTTCTAGATTATTTTATCCTAGTGCCTTTCCACTCATGAAAGATGGAAATGATAAAATATAATTACAATGAAAATGCATTGGTAATTTTAAGATTGAGTGCACTGTTGGTGAAGGAATTTTTGTAAGAGATTCATTGGCATCCCTGGCTAAAAGATTTCTAACTTCAAAATGTTAGCCCTTTTAAGTGCACAACATGCAATTAAAAAATAGTGTCAAGAATTAAAGAGTGGGTCTTTTCAGTCATTGGATTCATATTCAATCTTTATATCTTTTAGACCATTCAGAATTGGTGAAGTTTTATAAAGGAAATTTGTAAATTATTTGTTTTAAATGACAACTTCTATTTTAAAAGGCCTAAATTGTCATTACAAGTATTTACAACTTGCCTTACAATTTATAAACAACTCTTCCTCCTGTGAAAACTGCCTTACGCTAGCATACACAGGTATTGGTTGGTATAAGCATTCAAAGAGGAAAAAATGTGATCATTAAATACAAATAGCCAATAAGCATTTATACAAATAATCAACTTTAGTAATAAAGTATTAAAATAACTAAGTTTCCTTCCTCCCAAAGTTGCAAAGATTGTAAAAGCCCTCTGATAACTACAAATTCAGGAAAACAAAGCTTCCTGCATACTATAATACTATGTAAGCACCACGAAGGTAGGATTTTTTGTCTTTTGTTTTTAACTATTGAATTTCCAGTGAACAGAATGGTTCTCATTTGTTAAACGAGTGGATGGAAACTTTGCTGTTGTATATATAAATTGGTAGTATTTTCAAGGAATTTCATGTCTAGAAAATATTTAAGGATGTCTATCAAAAGATATTTTAAAAGCAAAATGAATTGGAAGCAGCACAAATGCTTAAGAACAAATGGTTGATTGACTATATTAAGGTATAAACATATACTTGACTTTTCATTTTTAAATAATGATATTATAATATGAATATACTGTAATGGGGAAGATTTCATGTTAACTTTCACAAAAAGGTGATTACAATTAGAATATAAATAATGATTGCATTTTTATAAATGTAAAATCTGTAGTTGTATAGAAAAGGTCCTGGAAAATTAGTCATGATTATCTTGAAATGGCGATGTCATGACAGTTTGTTCTTTTTACTCATTTGTATTTGTTAAAAGGCACATATATTGGCTTTTTATGATAAAGAAAAAAGCTAAAGGCAGCAGAAGCAACAGCAGAACAACAACAATAAATCTATTCTGTTTAAAAACACTTTGAAAATTCATGTAGTACTAATTAACTTGAATAAACTATTTCTATTCATGGAGAACAATGCTTTAAGAGAGTCAGGATTACACACTGGTTAAACAAACTCATCACAGGACTAATACCAATAATATTTTGGATTCCTGTAGCAACTTTATTCCAGAAGTTGAATTGTATCTCCTTTCTGGTCCTGTGATACGGTGAGGTAAGCCTGCCTCCATCAGGTGATCTCTGGAGATGTGCTTTGGATGAGTCATGAGAAGCTGGATCTCAGCTCATCAGCTGGAGGGAAAGTTGTGTTTGGAAGAGTTTTGCATCTGTTCGATTCCCAGAACTCTACAAGCAGTGAGAGCCACCGCCATGTCTATAGGGGCTGGTATATGTCCCACTCTTTTTCACACCATCATGGACCATAGGACCTAAAAGCACATCACATTTCTAGGCTCTCCAAAAGCTTGGAGCTTCTTTAAAAGTAGGCTTATTAAAAAATGATGAAACAGGTTAATT